GGGGAGGTTCCGCACATGAATCTGATACCTAAACAGTTGAACTACTCGCTGATAGTTTTCGAACGTGCAAGACAAAAAGACATTATAAGAATTTTACCTCCGAACACAACTGTAACGACCATATCCATCAAGTCTTCAATGTCACAATTGGGCAAAGCTTCTTTCAATTTCAAAACATACGATAGTGCATCTTCAGGTATCTCCTTACCAGCATCTATATCCTTCTGTCGCATTTCCACAACACTTTTTGCAGTTACCCTAGTAAGGCGAGCGCCTTCCACACATCTTCGTCTTAAATTTGACCACGGCATGTATGCGGTCACTGGACTTTGAAAGCTTAGTGAAATGCCATGTAAAGCACTTTTGAAGTTCTTTTCAAATACAAGGCGATCATCATTATTCATCTCCAAATTACACGACCACTTAAAAGGGAACATTTTTAATGTTTTAGAGCACACCGTTCGTTATTTATCCAATGATTACTATACCAAAGAAAAACTATTAAAACCCAAGTACTTATGCACGGTTATTTGCATGACAAAAGAGGAGTACGACTACCTCAACTTTTCAATCAGAACAGTTCTGAGCCGCGCAGATTCGATTCTTGCCAGAGGGCCTAGTGTTGTATGTTTCGCACCGTTCCTGGTTAGGTCTTAAATAATGTATATGTATGCTCACTTGGATATATTATCCACCTAATCTAGTATTCATAAGTTCAAAACTCCAGAGTCTATAGCGGACTGGAAAGATTTTTGGGTTTCAAATATTCCAAAATGTACACCTTGCACCACTATCGACGAATTACGTCCAGACTCGGGGACGTAGCGAGCGGGGGTGTGGGCGTGTAATCCCCCCCCCCCCAACTGTGAAACTACTTTGAAATTTTCAGGTAACATTTGCGAAATAAAGGCGTTAATTTTGTGAAATGATATCCATTTTTGTAAAACACAGTCGATTTAGACCCAATTCGTTTGTGAATTTGGTTTAGAAAACGCCAGAAATGCAGTCCTGGAGTTTCAAAAATGTAAACATTTTCTGGGCGAGGACCTACAGGCCTCTCTTTTCTTCGGAAACTTATTATAACTGTGGAAATAAATCAGAAAAAGCCCTATTATAATTATTACACTTCAGGTAAATTTTTAACATTGCAGTTCAAATGTCAGCTAAATCCTCCGACACCCCGCTCCCCCCCCCCCCCCACCCC